GAAAACAGAATCAGATTGTTTACAAAGTGGCCAGTGTGATTTAGGAAAGGGCTGAGAGTCCCTGTAGCCTATTGTTAGTGACAGGTTTCAGCCTATGGAGTTCCTTGCTACCATCAGTAAAAGTGCTGAAAAATACTGTCCTACTCATACCAAACATTGATTCAGGGGGTGATATAAATACCGGGGAAAAAAAAAAAAGAAATTTAAGCAGAGGAGATACATTTTGCAATGATAAATCTATAATGATTTATAAAAGGAAACAAGGCATGCTTCATGAGAAACTTTTTAAGCCTGGAGAAAACATCTGGTCAACTGAGCAGATGTGAAATTCCTTTCCTTACACTGCAAACACATAGAATATTAGATAAAGTATATCATTTTTCTGGCTGGGCGCTGTGGCTCACACCTGTAATCCCAGCACTTTGGGAGGCTGAGATGGGTGGATCACGAGGTCAGGATTTCAAGACCAGCCTGGCCAAGATGCTGAAACCCCATCTCTACTAAAAATACAAAAATTATCCAGGTATGGTGGCACGTGCCTATAATCCCAGCTACTCGGGAGGCTGAGGTAGGAGAATCTCTTGAACTCAGGTGACAGAGTTTCCAGTGTGAGCCAAGATTGCACCACTGCACTCTAGCCTGGGCAACAGAGCAAGACTCTGTCTCAAAAAAAAAAAAGTATATATATATATATATATATATATCATTTTTCAAAAAATATTAAATTCATGTTTGTGCAAAAAAGTAAGAAAGGAAAATTTTCAAGTGCCAGAAATATATAAGAAATTCAGAGCCGAAGCTTTGTGTGGGAACCCACAAGGCACCTAGGGACTACGACTTACACATGCCTGGGGATGGGAGCCAAAGCCACATACATACCCTGCTCATATCATGGAGCTGGAAGTAGACTTGCTGCGTAAAGCTGGGAGCTGAGAAAGTGTTGTAGCCCTGGTGAACCGGGCAGTAAATTCTACCTGCAAGTTGTTATAGGAAGCAGCTACCCATACCGCCTCACGAGTGGAGACACCCACCTTCCAGAAGTGGAGCTACAGCTGCGCCTTTCCTTTGTGTGGCTTCATATTTGCCCTGCTTTCTCCATAAGAAAACCCCGAACTGAGAAAATAACTCAGAAGCTGATCCCGGTTCACTGACTTCTGTAGGGGTCTGGCAGGGTCAACTTCAAAAGCAATCCTATTGGGTTTTGGTTGTTTCGCGTTTTTTCAGCAAAATACCATGGACCTCTCATAATGATCAACTCATCAGCAGAAATTGCAAAGTACTTAACTATACACCCCCTTTGAAGTCAACCAGTAGAAGCTACAAAATAAACTGAAAAACCAAATAGAGAAATCTTAAGGGAACTTTAAGTATTAATGTGTCTAAACTATTAAAAGATAAAAAGGGCTTTCCCAAGTGGGGGGAAAACAGAAGAATTGAAATAAAATAGAAATACTAGAAAAACAAATCATTGAAAGGGAAAAAGTTTGTTCCTGCTACTAATTATTGGAATACAGGCAATTTTTCATTATTCTGTCTTGGTTTCCATATCTGTAAAATAAAGTAAAAATACCTTCCATCTGTTATATTCAAAGCATTAAATTAAACTAAAAAAATATTAATCTCGAATCTGTCTCCCCATCACTATACAGGTATAGTGGCCAGATATTCTGTCTCAGTTTTAAACATTGTACTCTATCTTGTCATGAAACCATAGAACCAAGTTTAGTGTTCATAAGAATATAGTAAACATCGATATAAGGGTCTGAACAAGGCAGGGGGGAGGGAAGGGAAGATGTGCCCCAAGCTGCCTGTATTTCTGGAGCATATAGTTTAGTTACTGCTTTGTCTTGGAAGGCCCAGAGCAGAGGGGTGCACAGGACCCAGTGTAGAATTGGGCCATGGCCTTCCAGCTACCTTGCTTCCATCCTGGCTTATTTCCTATGTAAGTGTATGGGAAAGTTCCCTGTGGAGTTGGGCAGAAAAGGCCTTACCAGGCTGTCAGGTACAAGGTCATGGCTGAAATCTGAAGCCCTACAGACCCAAGCAGTCTAAGAGGATGCAGAAACACCTAGCTTAGTGTCCTCTGATTGCGGTACTAGAAGACCATGCAGAGCAGTTTGGGAGTGAATCAACCCCAGAGTCCTTTATAAATCCACTGTAAGTCCTGGTTTCTGCTTAACAACAGGACACTTTGTCTCTTACACATGCACACACATTCTCTCTCATTTACTTCTCTTTCATTTGCTACCATTTTTTATCCTCCCCTGTTCTCCTTCTGCTTCTTTCGTCTCCTTCCCCTCCTCATCCGAGTTGCTCTTCTCTGCTTATTTTTTAGACCTTTCATCAACCCCTGTAGGTACATTTCACCCTTGGATAGCCCTTGGGCTAAAGACGCTCCAGCATGCTCCCCTTATGCTCTGCCACAGGGTTACTAAATCAAAAACAATCTTTAGTTTCCCCTAGAAGGAATGAAGGCACTGCACCAGGCTAAATGCAGACAAAATGCCCAAGTAACCACGGAGAAATGTGCATCTTGAAATTCCTAACCTTACACCCAAGTCTCCGTAAATCTTGACTCTGCTGTATCCTGATCTTATGATTCAAAAATGAGGCTGATGTTTCCTTGGGATGCATCTTTCAGGTATGAGAGAGCAGAGACAGCAGCTTTACCAAATGAATGAGCTTCTTTTCTCTGTCCTACAAGGGGTGTGGTGGCAGTGGAGAGCACCTAGGTTTATGGCTCCTTCAAAGAATGGGAGAAGGCACAGAATGAATGAGTAAGGTCAACCAATAGATTACTCCCTTAGGCTTCAGCAAATACTCCTGCTTTTATACCAGGTCGCTCATCCATTGCCCTACGCATACATGCATGAGAGTGTCTTTATTTGCCATTACAGAGCCAGAGAAGTGCACAGATGGATTGCCCTCAGACTGAAGGTGTACAGTTCCTATGGCCTTGACTTACTTCCCTGAAGGTTACGTTTAGTGAGTAGCACTAGTTTTAGGGAATCAGTTAGCAGGAATTTACTCATTTTAATTAGGTTTGTATTTTTAAATTTCCTTTTGAAAGTAACATATATTATGGGTTGATGTGCATAGAGAGGCACGAGGAGAGAAACAAGAAAATAGAGGAAAAAAATATGACTTAAATCCTGAGGAATCAAACAACCATGTTGACATGTATGTGTTCACATTCAAACTTTTTTCTTGCATACTCGAAGCCTTTTTAAAAAGTGACTATTTAATTTTATATCCTGCTCTTTCTTTTCAACATTATCACATATACTTTCTTATCATCATGAACCCTTTTATAATTGTAAGTGCTTTTTAATGATTTTTTGAGACGGGGGTGTCACTCTTACTCAGGATGGAGTGCAGTAGTGCAATTCTCTACCTCCTAGGCTCAAGAGATCTGTCACCTTAGCCTCCTGAGTAGCTGGGACCACAGGTGTTACCACCATGCACAGCTAATTTTTTGTATTAAATAGAAATGGAGTTTCGCCATGTTGCCCAGGCTGGTCTCAGATGCCTGGGTTTAGCTGATCCACCCATCTCAGCCTCTCAAAGTGCTGGGATTATAGGCGTGAACCACCATTTCTGGCCGTAATGTTTTTTAATGAGTTATTTCTTTGATGGATATAGCATAGCATTATTTACAAAACCTTTCCCTGTTTTTGAAAATGTGGGTTGGTTCCACTTCTTGCTATTATAAATACTGCCATGATGACTATCCCAGGGTATAAAGATTAACAGGTATGCCTTGAGATTCCAGTATGTGTCAGGCCTCGGGCTGGGTCTTGGGGGAATATACATGGTCCCTGGTGTCAAGAATTTACAGTCTATTTTGGGGGATAATGACATAATCCTAAGCACTTTCCTTTTGTCCTTTCAGATTAGTAAGATGAAAATAATCCTAAATAATATTGAATTTTTAAAAAGAAAGCAGGACCAAGAAAAGATATATATATATATATATATTGCAATTAATACATAGTGCATATCTAGATTGACCAAGACAGAAAATGAATTGTTAATCAAAGTAAATATTGGGGAGATTAAGTTCAAACAGCAACTGGTCTGATTTGAATTTCAGTTTTGCCTGAAAAAATGTCTAATAACTGACGCAAGACTATACATTTTCCATCGTGATTTAAATGCTCTGATTAGAATTGATTGTTTTTCATAAATCTGAAAATGTGTAAACATTCATTGGGAACATGTCCATTAAATTGGAACCAACATTGGTGGCTGATTTTCTGAGTTGCAGTTCTGGCTTTATGGGCCCATTGAGATCTACTCTTCCCTTGTTTTCTTTTGTATAGTTACTTTGAAGCTCGTGGAAAAGTATTCCAAGAAAGAATCAGGAAGTTCATTAAACTACAACAGATTTTTATTTTTTTTTTTGAGACACAATCTTGCTCTGTTGCCCAGGCTGGAGTAAAATGGCACAATCTGTGCTCCCTGCAACCTCTGCCTCCCAGTTCAAGTGATACTCCTGCCTCAGCCTCCCAGGTAGCTGGAATTACAGGCACCCACCACCATGCCCACTAATTTTTGTATTTTTAGTAGAGATGGTGGTTTCACCATATTGGCCAGGCTGGTCTTGATCTCCTGATCTCAGGTGATCCACCTGCCTGGGCCAAAGTGCTGGGATTACAGGCATGAGCCACCGCACCTGGCCCCAGACTGTAAAAGATTTTACAAAGAACATCACGATGGTGTGTGTGTGTGTGTGATTGAAGGGGTGTTACTGTAGAGCAGGGTGGAATAAACACAGGTAATAAACTAGGAAACAGTCTATCTGAAAGATGCTTTGAAACACCAGGATTTTAATGTATTAGAATGAAGTGTGCGTGTGCCAGAGAACCAAGTTCTTCCAAACTCAAGCATTTGAAGTAATAGAGCAATGGGGACTTCTCCAGAGTCTGGGCAGGATGATTCAAGGGCTGCCTCTGTGCTGTGAACAGGAATGCATCTCACTACTTGTTTTCTTATTTCAGATCGATGACCCCCACAGCAACCTTGAGGAGGTGATTAATGAGGCAGAGGCCATCACTTCTGTGAACAGTCTGGGAAGCAAGCAAGCCTTGAATACAGATTACCTTGATTCTGATTACCGAAAAGGACAGCTGTACCCATTCTCCCTTAGCAGTGATCTCCAGATAGCCACATTTACTCTTACAAATTCAGCCCCGATGACTCAGTCCTTCCAGGAACGGTGGTACATGAATCTTAACAGCCTAATGGACCGGGCTCTGACCCCACAGTGTGGCAGTGGGGAAGACCTATATATCCTCACTGGCACAGTGCCCTCAGACTTAAAAGTTAAAGACAAAGTAGCAGTCCCTGAGTTTGTTTGGCTGGCGGCCTGCTGTGCTAGTCCCTGGAGGAGGCTGGGCCATGGGCTTTGTCAAGCACACCCGGGACAGTGACATCATAGAAGATGTGATGGTAAAAGATCTTCAAAAACTGCTTCCATTTAACCCTCAGCTGTTTCAGAACAACTGTGGTGAAACTGAGCAAGACACAGAGAAAATGAAAAAAATCCTGGAAGTGGTTAACCAAGTCCAGGATGAAGAGCGAATGGCACAATCTCAAGAGAGTTCTAGTCCCCTCTCCAGCACCAGGAGCAAGAGGTCTGCTCTGTTGCCTCCAGAGGCATCTGAGGGAAGTAGTAGCTTTTTGGGAAAACTCATGGGCTTCATTGCTACCCCATTCATCAAGCTTTTTCAATTAATTTATTACCTTGTCGTAGCAATCCTGAAGAACATTGTATATCTCCTGTGGTGTGTTACCAAGCAGGTGATAAATGGCATAGAAAGTTGCCTTTACCGCCTGGGCTCAGCCACCATCTCATACTTCATAGCCATTGGGGAAGAGTTGGTGAGCATTCCCTGGAAGGTGCTCAAGGTCATGGTCAGAGTCATCAGGGCCATTCTCCGGATCCTTTGTTGTCTGCTGAAGGCCATTTGCCGAGTTCTGAGCATCCCTGTTCGTGTCCTTGTGGATGTGGCCACTTTCCCTATGTATACCATGGGCGCTATTCCCATCGTGTGCAAGGACATCGCAGTGGGCCTTGGTGGCACTGCCTCACTGCTCTTTGACACTGCTTTTGGCACCCTGGGTGGCCTATTTCAGGTTGTTTTTAGTGTCTTCAAGCGGATTGGCTACCAGGTTACTTTTGAAAATTCTGGGGAGTTATAAACTCAAAAAACTAATAGTATCCAGTCACATTGAATTTGAAAGCTGGAATATTTTGTCTTTACAATGGGTTTCTGTTCGCTCTCAGATATCATTCTATTTTGGCCTTTGGTGAGGATGTCTGCTTGTTTTTGCAAAGGAAGATGGCAGAATTTAGACTTGACAGAGGAGAAATGCTCAGGGTGAGATTAGGTGTAGTAATCTGCTGTTTACCTCCAGTTATATGTGCAAACTTCCAAGCCACTAATAATTTCAGTTGTGCACTCTGACACAGATGATCCCCTAAAATGCACTGATATTTATTTATGATAGTTAAAAATTACAGGGGAGGGAAGTATTAGAAAGAGAACAACTTTAAACCAAAGGGTTTCTGAGAAAAGGGGAAAGGGAGCTTGTTGCTCTTTGTAATTTAAGACAAACAGATTTTTAAAAAGTCTGCAGCCAATTTCTTGGCATTTGCTTCTCTTTCTCCCCAACTCAGCTGACCTTGGTGGGATGCAGATCATGCCCCTCTGTTGAAATAACATTGTGGGGATGTCAAGTTTTCTATATCTCTTAGCTTTCAGTGGTTCTCAAAGACAGTATGGTTTCCATTTTCCTCCAAAGTTGAAGTTTGCTTCAATTTTTTTAAATGATAAGCATTTAAAAATTATTTTAGATTATCATAAGCATTTTATGCCAAATGTGGCATAACAGAGTTTGAATTGAAGGGCAAAGATTTTCTTTCTTTCTTTCTTTTTTTTTGTGAGCCCCTTAAGTGGTATAATCAGTCCCCTCAGGTGAAAAGAGGAGAAGGTGGACAGCCCTGCTCTTAGTAGGTGCTGCAGATCCAAGGACATCTTTAGCCCAGCCTGGATTAACTTGACATATCTCCCTGCCTGACACGGTTGAAATGAAGATCTATATGTTAAACTAACATGAAAATTCATATTCTGCAACATACTAGATTTTTCTAATGCACTGAGTAAGTACCTAGTACAGTAAAAACACTCTGACTTATGTCCCTAAATGATTGTTTTGGTGCAACTATAGAGTAAAGAGCCACAAAATAAAGATAAAAATTATTCTGGCCCTCTGTGAAAAAAATATATATAAAATATTTAAGAATAATTAACTCTTAGGTAATTAGGAAAGAAATATTAGGAAATTATTCTTATAGTGTGTTTGAGGCTACAAACCTAACTCCCCCATTAATACAAGTTAAACATGAGAGCTCATTCTCAATTTTTTTGATCAAGCACTTGTCATTTTAAATCTTCCACTAAAAATGGTAACAAGAGGGACCAAACTTTGTTTCCCACAATTGGGATGGAATCATCTGGATTTTTCTGAATGTTTTAAAGAATTGCTGAGAGATAGGTAACAGCCAAGTATGAAATACGGATCTTGGGGCTACAGCCCAGGATCAATCAGAAAGTTAGATGCAGAAATTCAGGTTCCTAAAAAGGAGAGAACGGTACATCCATCATTTGCATGGGGGCGGTGGATGAGAAATACAAGTGTAGCAAGAGTTACATTTTGCAGAAAAATAGCAGTGTCACACCCAGAGTAGAACAGCAGCCAGCAAGCTGTCATCCTGATCAGTCTGTGATGCAAGCAAGCTTAGGGAGCATGAGTACCACATGGGACCGTGCTAGGAAGATATGCACCAGGTTTATCTAAGAAACTTAGAGCAGCATTTCATCAACACTTGCCTTAGGTAACATAAAGTTTCAATGTCCCTTTATTTCAGCAGTGTGAAGGTAAATGGAAAGGTGAGGGTTTGACTTGGTACTTACTGGTCAAGAATCCTGCTGGATAAAGAAAAGGAATTTTAGAAGTGACCAGAGGGACAGTCCATCCAAACTATTATTTGATAAGGAACTCGAGGCCCAGCGAGGCAACAGGCTAGCCCTCAGTTTTGTGGCGAGCTGTATTAGGAACCAGTGTTGTTTGCACATGTCCCATCACACATGGGATGTCAGACATGGGTAGTTTGTGCTATTATTCAGCTGCCTCCCTGGACCATGGCAAGATTTCCTCATCTATCAAACAGACTCCAGGCCCTGACTAATCAGCTGAATTTGGCATGTGTGATGAAAACAATTAGCCATCCATGTACAGCATTATGCTTACTGCATCCCATGGAACCTTATTTCCCTCCTAGCACACATTTGCATACTGAAAGGCCTGAAAAGGGCATCCATGGCAGCTTGAGCCCCTTAGCACCTGTGCAAGGACCACAGCATCCAAACAGCTTCTTGAGAACCATTTGGGAATGTCTTCTTTTTCACATCCAGTTGTTTAGTGTCTGTTTATTCTTGTGTGGCCTGTTTTGAAATCTAAAAAGGGACAATAAAGCAAAAAGTATCAGTAAGGTTAGGTGGCTGAGACCACTGCCCTGAGCTACTGGTGTGGCTGTGCCTCTGTGTCTCTAGAACTATGTGCATTGGATCTAAAGCCGCAGAAGGTGACTGGACTGCTGGCCTTTTCCTGATGAGCTACACTGGGCTTTGAGATAGGAGTTGAGGTGGATGAACCCCAACTCAGCTTAAAGATCTTGCTGTGGCTCTGTTATGTTCTGAGGTCTTGGGGAGGTCAGCTGCCTCTTCCTCATTATGGAGCTGATGTTTTAGTCTGTGGATGAGCTATGCCTTTGGACACTCCTCTTTTCCATTGTGCCTTTTGGATGTTGGCTTCTCACTCAGCATCAGCACTTCCACCTAAATGCAGGCTAGGTAGTTGGGAGAAGGAACCAAAGTGAAGCCCTTCATTTATTCAACCATTCGTTCATCTGTCGAACGCATACTTGGACATCGAAGTTGCAGAGATGAACAATGCATGGATTCCATCTCTGAGGAGTTCAAAATCTAGTGGAGGGAACACATGGTACAATCGTACTTGTAACACATCAAGGACAAGTAAGTGCTACAAGAAAGGTACTAATAACATGCTCCTTTGGAACAGAGGAAGAAAAACTACGAAACCACAGGAAATTAGGGAAGCCTTTACAGAGGGTGTGACAAACTCAATTTGGACATTTTCAAGCTATGTACAATGCTGTGCACTTTGCAGATGCTCAATAAAGTAATTATTGACAACTCATGAGCAGTTCTGTAAAATATCTAAAAGGGATCCTAATGGTTGAAGTGAGGCTTGGGGATTGTGAATTTTTGCCAATTTCTTCTTGATCCACATTAATTCAAGCAGTTTATGGTCATATCTGACTTTCATTCATTTCTTTAAATGTTTGCATCATGCATGAGATAACATAAGTCTGGATCAGTGAAACAGGTCTTAGAACTATTTTTCAATGTTATTACTCTAAAAAGCTATTTGGTACAATAAGCGTTTTTGATACATTTTTCATAACTAAGGACCAAAGACTTACTGCTTCACTGAATCTGAATCACATAGAAAATTATAGAAACACTTTTATTTGTTTGTTTATTCCTTAGGAACTCCCACAGTGAGAGAAATTACAAGCAGTCTCTGACAGGAGCTAGTCCTCTCCATGACCTTTAGTAGGGTGATCCTCTGGGGTGGAGGTGGCAGTAATTCTTGGCTGCCTTCCCAGTTTGGGCAGCATCTTGCCTAAGCTCACCACAAAATACATGTTTTTCCAAATGTTACACTATAAGCAATACTGTGTGGACTGCTTGACTTTCATTAATGGGTTCTCAGTCTTCCCATTGTCTCTCTCTATAGGTATTTTCCCCCAGGTCATGATTGATGTCTAACAACACTACACTCCAAATCAATTTTTAAATTTAAATTTCGCCAAAGAAAGTGCTCATAATCACTTGTCGTCTTTGATTATCCGTGGTGAAGGGGTGGATGTAAGATGGCTTCTGGAGGCCAGTACTTCCTAATGGTTAAGAGCCCACGCTCTAAAGTCAAAATGGTGTAGTCACAAATCTTAGCTTCCCCACTTAACTGTGTGATCTTCGGCAAGTTACTCACCTTAACTTTCTCATCTATACAGTTATGAGTACCTACCTCAGAGGGTTGCTATGAGTGTTAAATGAGTTAATGAACATAAAGCATTCATCATTTATCATGCTTGGCACATGGTAAGTGCTCAGCAAATGTTAGTTGTTGCTAGATCTGCTGTGGGCAATGATATTTACACTTCCAGGACAAAATTGGTTGGATGGCGCCTTAGAGGGCAGGACGTTTCCAGATCAAAGCTGGAAGGACCAGGATCAAAGTACGATCTGAGAGTCAGAGTCATGAATGAAAATGAAGCAAGCCAGAATCCTCATCAGTGGTATCCATGATTCTGAAGGTACAGGTGAGGGTTGGACCTGGAGTCTCAAAAGAGGAGAATCAGAGAACTGAAACTCAACATGTTTCCAGCACTATTGCGTTTTACCTCCTACTCAAGCTTCCCAAATACAAACACATCGTCAGCATCGGCTTTGAAGGTAAGCATTGCAGGTAGGATGCGGCAACCCAAAGACGGCAGGGAGAAAGAGGCAGAGCCTCTTGGACGCTGTGTCTATGAGTGTGGGTTGGTGGGGGAAAGGCAGGTCATCATTCTGGCACAGGGCCTTGGAGTTCACTAGTTTAGTTGTCCTATGACACTTTAGGGAAAGTCTTCAAACCTTTGTGAGATTTAATTCCTTATTTATAAAATGTGGGTAATAAAAATATCACCCCATAGGGTTTTTGTAAAGATCAGATGAAACCAGCTTTGCAAACTATCAGTTACCATAAAAATACAAAGATTCATAACTACGTTTCCAAGGTTGATCCTATTTGTTTAAAATTTGGTGCATACTTCATTTTTTAAAAGGTGAGTAGATGCGAAAATTAAAGTGGTTGTTCAGAAAGCACAAATGGCTTAGCTAGAGATTGGGTTTGACAATAAATGTTGAACATTGCGCCTTGAAAATGTAAGATCTCAGGATGCTGCCTTATCCATCCTAAAATCCTGCTTGCTTAAAACCCAGTCAATCCCATCTTCAGTAGACTCCTCCACACACCTCATGCCCATTTGCTTTTCTCCTTTCTGGGTCGGCCGAGTCACTGAAATGAGTAGCAGTCACTGAAATGAAAGACACCGTATGAGTCATGTAAAACCTGAAAAGGAACAAGTATGAGACAGTGAATAGTCATGGTGAGTCTCTGAGAACTGGCAGAAGCTGCCCAGACTGCCCCTGCCAGCCTGCACCCTGAAGGCCAGCTCAGGCCTGCCACTGACGTCTGCCCCTGCGAACATCAGACAGCAGCTTCTGGGATTTAGTTTATTTAGGCCGTACCACGTGTGTGTTTCTCCAGCATACTTGCTGATTTGGCATATCCAGAAGTATTTTGTTCACTGCATCTAGAAGGAGACCTCCAGGGAAGTAGAAGTCTCAGAAGTGAGGAAGTGGCAGACTTGTGGAAAGGGGAGTGTGTACCCGGAGCACAGGAGCCCTGAGTTCCCTCCTCTGAGTTACTACTGTACATTTTCTGGATGTCATCCTTGGTATATTTGCAAAACAAGGAGAGAGGGACCATCTCTAGGGTCTTTTCAAATTGCAGGCAGCAAATCCTTGCTTTCAACAAGTACTTTCTGGTTGAGATTCTGATTGAGTTCTATCAACTTATCTCTCCTATGTCAGGGTCACCAAAAACCAGAGAAATTCCCCGGGACATTATCAGGAAAGACAGGTCCTGATTAGTCCTGAAAACATCATTATTTTTATTATTCTCACCAGCATTTCTTCTCCCCAGACTTAGGGGATTAATTAGCAGGGTTGCCCTTAGGTAGTGGTCAACCTGAGAGTAAGAAATGTTAGTAATGCTCCTGGCTTCTGTTTAACTCCCTCAGTAGCCTGAAGTGTTGCCAGAAATCTCACCACTTGGCACTCTTCCTGTAGGCTAGGAAAATACAAATAATCTGAAAGAAGTTAAAGAGGGAGAGTCTTGACAACCTGAACTTTAAATATTTTGAAGTCCAAAGGCTACATCCCCAGCCCTGGAAAATAAATTAATAAGGTTATTTTAGCTCAGTGCCATTAAACAACAACTTATCTAAGGCCTCATTTTCCATCCTGTTCCAGTCAAACAAACCTGCTCATGGCCTGGCTTCCTATGTTGGTTTGCCTCTCTGGAGCAAGTACAGTGAGCATACAGATTTCGGACTCTCTTGGCAATGCTAAAACAACTTCAACAAAGTAGCTGTTGATTATGTTTTGGCTTCCTGTGTAGCTTAAGAACGTAAGATGATAACGGGAGTGCTCTGGTCTAGTATGTCAGCTCTATTTTTAATGTAAATTAATCAAATGTCATTGTAGTGTTGTCCTCATTCTCTTGTGTGTCCTAGCATGAATCCCTTTCTTAGAGCCTCGTTGCTTCCAGAAGCTCAGCAGAACCCACATCTGAGCTCTCAAATCTGGAAAATGTTTCAGGCTGTGGTATTTCAAATCAGCAGAGAGAATTCTGCACGCCCTTGGTTAGCTTTCCCTGAAATACTTCTGCCATGTTTCCATCTCCTGTCTCGGACTCACCTCTAAGCTCTGCAACCTCTGTCTGTGAATCAAATGTCACAGGATGTGTTGAAAAATCAATAAAAACTCATCCTCTGCCACTGGAGGGCAGAATGCCTTAGTTAGAATTCTTCAAGATGGCAGAATGCATTTGTTAGGATTCCTTTGCTTGGATACAGTAGAAACCCCTCTCAAACTAGCCTTGCCCCAAATTTACTGGATCATGTAACAAGAATTTAGAAGGGGCCTCTTGAATCAGGGATTCAAATAATGATAGAACTCTATCCATCATCAATAACTCTGTGTTGTCTTCATTCACACCTGCAGTAAATGATATTGCTTCATACACTGTGAAGCACAGGGAGCTCTGAATATTCACCCTGGTGGTCTCACATCTGGAGAAGGAGGAAAGCTCCTGTGTTAGTTCTGGCTAGGAGAACCCCCAGGAAGGTTTCTTTTTCCTAGTTGGGTACATGCAATCCTTGGGTCAATCAGTGGCTGGATGGGTGCAGTAAGATGATTGACCCAGACTGGGTTATAGATCCCTCTGATGATGTTGGTAGTTCTCATAGGAAGGACAGAGAAGAGGGGGCCAGATAGATATCCACAATAGTCCCTCATAGACTGACTCACAGCTTTATTTAAGACACATAATGATGCCCTTTACATTTATTAGGCGGTTTTTGACTTAGAAAGCTCTTTCACATTTATCAGTGGACTGCATCAGAACCACAGATGTGTTTGGTTTCTCTTTTTTCTTAAAAACAGAAGCTATGGCCAGAATTTCCTCAAGGACTGAACAAGCTGGAGCTGCGTAGACAGGGTAAGCACCCTACAGTTTGTCACTGTCTCCATCGTATCTCTATTGCCTCTCTGACCTGACCCACTTTGCTCATTTAACTTACTTACCTGGCTCCTGTAGCTTTTGGGTTTGCTGACTCACCATGTGATCTCACATCATTCACGTCTATTCTGTAACACTAATTATTCCCATGTTATTTTAAACCAAGATTCAGAGTTTCAACTGACTTTTCTATGATCACACAGTTAGAAGGTGAGACCCAGAACCTAGATTTTAGAGATGAAGACTGTTCGGTCCCCTGCACACGGTGGTACCAGTTAGGCACAAGTTTCATATCTGCTGTGTGAAGGCAGCCCTCTAGGGTTGTGTAGTCAACACTATATATGGAAGCCCTGAGGCTATTTTCCCTTCCATTTCACCATAGTTATAATACTGTCTCAAAGTTAATTGAAATAATGCACTTCCTTCAACTTTATTGTAGAACAAATACTCATAACTAAGTGAAATGATAAATAATCAGATTAGAACAAATAATTCAGTGAATTATATCACTAAGTCTTACCAGAGACAATGGTAAAACTTGTCTGATTTACGGAAATAATAGAGTTAGGTCTGCAGTGGAGAACACGCTCTGTAAAGTCCACAACTATTTTAGGAGTGATTTTATCGTCTTGAAGTTTTTCTTGCTATACAAATAACCTTAATCTCTCAGTTTCCATGTGATTAAAATGAGAGGTTTGCATTCAATTTTCTAGTAAGACAGTGATGCTTAATCCTGATTGCACATTAGAATCTCCAGAGAGGTTTTATTGATTTTTTTAAACA